AGTTCAAGCATTCAAAAAGGTTACCGTTTCAAACCATAAACATAATATTAGTTTTTTTTTGAGAAAAGCTAGAAATGCATGTAATCGATTTTAGGGTATTAATTAGTTTGTAGTCTTTAGACAAATCACCATCGAATAACTAGTATCGGATTCCTCAATCCATATCGTGTGTGACACAGTTATACATCGCAAGCAAGGAATGGAGGTTGCACAAGAGTATATATAGATAGACTATAGTTGGGGAATGAACACTGTTAGATACCTGCTCAATGGTTTAGAGCTTAAATGATCGAGTGAAAGACCGAAAGTGCAGTTTGTCGAAGCGCACTACTGCTAAGTCACATACTAGGACTAAACTGTCATCTAATGCTTCCAGGTTCCAATGGGGATCACTTTGTAATTTCAACTATGAAAAATCCTAAAATCTCCACAAATCCCATTTTTACTGATCATTACGTTTCTTTCAATGTTCAATGTTATTTTTAAGTGGACTGGCAATGTTCCACACTTTGAAGTCAATCAAAATGATTGAATTTATAAACAATTTTAAAATTTTTATTTACATTACATTTCAAATAATCAGTTTTGACAAAGTCCTATATAACTGTTCGAGTTTTTTGAAAGTTTAAAGCGGCACAAATCACACCATGAACAGACTGACAGTGTTTTTTCTATTGTTCATGTAATTCTTTAACGTAGACACTACTACTCATCAGATATCACTTATTTAATATCCGCTTGTTAACCAAAGGCCAAGTGTACTGTGCAGCAATTCGCTCTGTCCTACTCTATAGGGATGCGAAACATGGCTGTTAAGAGTAGAGCGAATTCGTAGGTTACTGGTCTTCGATCATAGGTGTTTCCGAAGCATTGCTCGTGTATCCTGGGACGACTGAGTAAGCAATGCTATCGTTAGAAAACGAGTTCTACGTTAGGATGGCAGATCAATAGATGAAGTGGTGAAACTTCATCAGTTGAGGTGATTGGAACATGTGTTACGTATGCCTAACCACCGACTGCCTCGACGAGCAATGTTTGTTGTGTAGGAGTAGGTTGGAAGAAGGTTAGGGGCGGCCAAACCAAAACATGGCAGCAATCCATGAAATCACTGACAAGTGGACTGAGTCATGTTGGTAGATGTAGTCTACCTGGTTGGGGTCCGTGAGACGAAAGTCACCAATGGTTAGAGACCTTGAACGACATGGCTCAGAATCGTTTGCAATGGCGTAGGTGCATCCACTCTTTGTGTTCTCTGAAATTCTAACCTTCTGACTTCCTCATAATCACTACCTTTCTCCTTCTAAATTTATCTCACTGAATTATAATTTTCGAATCATATCTTCGCTCCCTAATCTTCTCCATTACTGCTAATACTTCTACTGTTGCTATCATTAGTGGGTTTGAACTGACAGTTACGTCTCTGTGCTGATGTCGTATGGCAACCTGAACTGATGTACTTACGTATGAAGTTCTGCGTTGTATCTGTCTGTCTGTTTATAAATTATTTAAAACTGCTTTTCTCTTTGACTTATCATTCAAAAGTTTTCATGATTTCAATGCATCAGTTGTTCATTCCTGTATCAATCCGTTCCTGTTTTTACCAGTTAGAGTACAGAGAGAGTCAACAAGAATCCCCCAGAATCTGGGGATAACCGGGTAGCTCGACATACGCAATCGCTAATAAGCATGAAATATATGTACGTGTGAATAGGTGGCGGTAGGCTGGAAGAAAGCAAAGGGTGGCCAAACAAAAACATGCCACAAATCCATGAAGCCACTAACAAGTGGACTGAACCATGTTAGTAGGTGTAGACTACCTGGTTGGTGTCCGCGAGACGATAGTAATCGATGGTTAGTCTCATGACCTTTATCTTTCTCTTTTTAAGTTTATTTTACTGAATTCTACTCGTTGACTAATAACTTCGAACTCTAATCTCCCGTACTGCTGCTAATACTTCTAGTACCTCTGTGGTGTGAGCTACTTATAAGTAGTATATGACGTGAGTGTCAACGTAATGTCTGGCAGCAGAAGATGGGGGGAAGATCAAGAAAGGAAGAGTTAGAAGAACACAATGGAATTTGTATGAAACGCATGAATAGTGACAATGGATTGATGTTTTACAACAGGAACAGTCCAGTTTGATATGATGGACTGATATTTTGCAAATGAACGATTTACGATATGGTTTTCCGATTTTACTGAGTACATACGTACATACGTACAAAGTTCCACATTTTAACTGACTGACACATAAACTGCTGATTGATGATATGATAATTGATGTGATATATTTCCATAAAAAGGTAACTCTGAATTATTTGCAGAAATTAAAATCTGGTCATAGGTTGCATATATTACAATCTTTGTAATACAATATAGACTTTGTGACTTGATTAAAACTACATATACCTATAATATCTGTTCCGTTCACTTAGTTTATACACATAAATCAATGGAGGAATTACTCGATAAATAAAAACCACTGTGTGTGTCTGTGTGTTTATATGAACGAGTGAGAGAGAGTGAGAGAGTGAGGTAGAAGTAGTTTGAGAAAGAAACAATAAATCACAGTTTATTTTCCAGATAACATTAAACATTCGAATCATATTGATCAGTGAGTGGATTGGTCAATTACAAAAATGCTACTGCATGTTGAGAAAATGTAACGTGCACAATTAAAATTAATCATATCTGATCAATATAGTTTTAAATGAATTTTATCAGTGTTGATTGTAAAGTGTAATGTAATTTTTTTACAAATTATTACTTATATACAGTGTTGTTTATTGATCACAGCTAAAGTTGTAATATATATGCTATGAACGAATAGTTAGTTCCAGCCAGGGAGATGATATCCACTATTGAACCTTGAACACTCTTAATGAATGTACGGATAATGGATGACTTAGATAATAGCTTCTGTAAAAAATCAAGGCCACCTTTACATATCTGAGCAGCAGTATCCAAGGACAACAAAGGTGAATCCGATGCAGATATGAGGGCGCGGATTGGCAAAGCAAAGGCTACATTTCTACAGTTGAAAAATATCTGGAACTCCAAACAACTTTCAACTAAAACCAAAATCATCATTTTCCATACAAATGTCAAGACAGTTCTACTGTATGGAGCGGAAACTTGGAGAACTACGACGGACATCATCCAGAAGATACAAGTATTTATGAACAGTTGTCTACGCAAAATACTTCGGATTCGTTGGTCAGACACCATCAGCAACAACGAACTGTGAGATAAAACAAACCAGATTCGAGTGGAGGAGGAAATCAGGAAGAAGCGGTGGAAGTGGATAGGACATACACTACGAAAAGCACCTAACTGCGTCACGAGACAAGCCCTCACATGGAACCCTCAAGGCAAAATGAAAAGAGGAAGGCCAAGGAACAGATTATGCCGAGAAATAGAGAAAGATATGAGAAGAATGAACAAAAACTGGACAGAACTAGAAAGGGCAGCTCAGGACAGAGTTGGTTGGAGAAAACTGGTGGGCGGCCTATGCTCCATTGGGGGTAACAGGCGTAAGTAAGTAAGTAAGTAAACAAAATCAAGGTAATACAGTATAGCTGTGATTTATTTCCTTCCGCATAATAACTTAAAGCTGACTGGGCAGTGTAAAATATTCCCAATGAGAAAATTAGATCAACATATATAAGCGAACGATAGTGTTGTAGTTTTTGATTAGATCATTTTCAGGCTTTACTGTCTAATATACATAAATATTTCATAGGAAAATCTTAAACTAATCAAGGCAATCGATAAGTCAATAATCACAATGAAATGAAATAGATTATGATCTAACCGAAAACAATATTGTTTGCTTATATGTGGTGTTCTGATTGGCAGTGTCGCTTTACACTGAAGTGAATGGGGTATTTCTTGAAATGAGACATTACAAATTGATAGGATTTTAAAATTCGAAGTATTAAATGACAACTCAGTACTCTGAAGATGAACTACGCCTGAATTTCCTCTGGGACTACTGCTGGTCACATGCTTGGATAAAGGAGGAGGGTTGGGTGTGGGGTTTCGAGAGCATAACTCATAGAAAACTAATTTGGTAAAAAAAACGCTAACCAGAAAATAAACTTTGAAGATATCACTGATATGGTGTCCTTGAAGTTTTAAGTTTGAATCCCTGGCACTAGTTTGAAACTACTCTCCACTGCTCTATGGATTTCAATGAGTATTTAGATCAGATAAGTTCATGTTTTCAAACAATGGTTATCATAGGTAGATAGATAGATAGATAGATGTGTGGATAGATAGATAGATAGGTAGATAGATAGATAGATGTGTGGATAGATAGATAGATAGATAGATAGATGTGCGGATAGATAGATAGATGTGTGGATAGATAGATAGATAGATAGATAGATGTGTGGATAGATAGATAGATAGATAAAGAGATAGTTGGTAAATAGTAGAATTCAAAACGCTCGTTTCATTCTATATATGACTCATCTTTAGTTGTATGTACTTGCATCTCAGAGTTGTTGACTTCAGGACTTAAACCTAGTACCATAGGCTTCAAATGTCATCATAATATTCACTTAGCTACTCAGTCCGAATATCCCTTCGCTTATGCAGATTAATTCATTTGTAACCTAAATTTGAATCTTACCACTAACTTAGTAGATAAGTAGATAACACGATGGCGTTTAAACTAGACAGCACTGAATTCGATTCCACGACTAAACATCAACTCTAGGATGCAGATAACTTTTAGCTAAATATAAATCTTAAATAAGACAAAATACGCATTCTGAATTTCACCTTTAGGCAATATCTACCTAAAGGCAATTTTAAAACAATCCACATATGATGAACACATGTTAAAAAGATTGAGATCGATCGCAGGTCTTAACACAATCAATTGAGAAGACGTTTTAAAGAAACAAAAATCAAACACAATCTATTATGATAAAACAGAATAAATTCTCACTTTAAAATGAAGTAAAATGAACACACTAACAAACAAACTTACTTGGTAATCCTTTGATTTTTTGTGGAAATTCATAACGTAATGACAATTCAATAGTTGACTATATTGATTGATTTTCATCATCATTATTCAAGCGATTGAGTGAGAGAGTGAGAGCGGGAAAAAATAATAACAGAAGAGTAGTTTTTAAAAACAACAGAAAATCAGTGAATTTTTTGATCGTCAAAAGAACTACTCACAAAAGATAACCTAAGTTTATAATTGTATAAAACATATCGCACATATTACACATAATGTTGATAATCTTTCTCTCCTCTCATGACACAATTGAAAATTGATCAAATAGGACGAATTGTTTTAAATTTGTATGTAGTGAATTTATTCATAATGTAGTGAACGAGAACACAGGTGGGGCAACCAAATTGTATTTAACGAAAATTACAGTTACTCAGTAAAATCGGAAAACCATATCGTAAATCGTTAATTTGAAAAATATCAGTTCATCATATCGAAGTGGACTGTTCCTGTTGCAAAACATCAATCCATTGTCTGACATTTCACTGTTAATGCGTTTCATACAAATCCCATTGTGTTCTTCCAACTCTTCCTTTCTTGATATTCCCCTATCTTCTGCTGCCAGACATTACGTTGACACTCACGTCACATACTACTTATAAGTAGATCGCACCACAATAAGAGTACAATAGAGATTATTGTTTTTAAAACATTGAAAACTGAACGGATCATTATTAGACCACCAATAGAAATCGTGGAAGCAATGATTCATTCAGGATTTCAATGTACAACAACAATCTATATAATTGTACAATTGGAAAATTGTTCATTGTGCTTACTAGTGATTAGGTTAGTGAGTAAGGATATTGAAAGTTCTAGTGAGAAGATGAGACTTCTGGAGTGCAGCTATGGTGCGTGTAGGTAGTAACTATCAAAGACAATGAGTGAGTGTTGGGGACGTTAGATCCCGAGAACTCATTTGATAAAGGTCCTAATTTTGGATTTCACGCTTACGCGCATGGGTTCATCAGTTCGAGTTGAGATTATATTTCCCACTCGGGAAATTCTTGACTGTTACTGGTTGATGTGTTATTTTAGTACGCTATTTTTGTAGCTCTCAGAAGGACATTTCTATCATTTGTAAATAAACTCGATTTGTGTACTTGCCGGTCTCGTATATTCTGGGTGCTTGTAGAATATAACTTTCTATGCTATATCAAGACTTCCTCCTCTACTAAGTGGGGCCTTGGGACGCTCGGATTAGAGTAGCTTATTGTGTCACTGGATCATTTGTCTTCGCTCTCGTTTACTGACTAAGGTGGACTCGTAATAGTTTCAAGCATATCAACAAACAAGCATTACAGTGAGGTTGAGCAAAATCCAGAGTTAGACATTACCACTGGTAGATTCAGGCTTGTTCAGTAGTCCGAAGGTTAAGCGTTCGCACACATGACCAAAGGTCTTGAGTTCGATTCCTGCGAGTATCAGGAGTCGTGGATGCTCATCGACGAAGAGTCCCATACTAGGATGAAGCAGCCATCTTTCAGTGCTTCTAGGTTTCTAATGGTGTTGATTGATTCACGAAGTCAATGTAAATTCAATTTATATCAGGCAGTTAATATTTAAGAGATGAAGAACAACTGACAGGGAAAAATAATGTCAAAATGGTCGGTAGAATTAGAAAAAAGTAACCATGTAAGCATCTAATAATCATGATCAATCAATATTTCAGTACTACACTAAAATCTTAGTTAAAAAACCATATATTGTAAGAGTAAAACACTTGTTTCTGATGGCACTGAAATAATTATACGATTTCTAATATTTTGAAATATGAATCCTATAACTTATCGATGAATATCAGTCAGTTCGCACAATATTGAAGGGAAATTTGGCTACTTATCGATCGCTTTCACTCATATATACATAACAGCTATTCATTAAAAATTTTATTCAGTTCAAGAGATTTTTGAAATGCTTAACAGTTTGTCTCCTATACACGCGTACACACACAGATCTGCACACATAAACAGTTTTATTGTTGAGATTCTAAAGTATTAGTTTTTCAGTAACAAGTATGTGGTTGTTTGACGAACTCCGCCTGCAACCCCTCCAGGACTACTGCCGGTCCGAAGCATGGATAAAGGAGGAAGGTTATAAATGGATTGGCGACTCCATCCCGAAGAAAATGAGCTCGCTAAAAATACGCTAACCAGAAAAAAATAATTCAAACCATTTAAACCCTACACTAGGAGTTAGGAGGTCTTATTTTAAAATAGCCGAGTTCTATCGGAAGTCATGAGGCCGATGGTATCTTTCCGTAACTGTATAAGTTCTAGTGATGGTTTGAATTATGGCATGATTCTATATATGGAGAATGTCAATATGGATCATCTTTGGTGCAACTGTGTTGATAGCCTATCTGTACAAAATCAAATCTACAGCGCATCGATCTTATTAGTTCTGTTTGATACTCACAAGTAGCCAGAGTAGTGGATGCGCACTGTTGATGAGTCCTATACCATGACTTGACTGCCGTCTTTCAGTGCTTCCAAGTTTCTAATGGTAATCTAACAATGACTGATTGATTGATGATTTCACTGGAAGAAAACACTGATCTTTATAACTCTAATTGAAAAAAATAAATTTAATCGTCTTAAACATTATTTCCCCCTATAAGCGCTCGTTAATTCACATCGTATTATTTAATTTCCAGTATCAATCGAATTCCATTGACCAATTAACACATATATAGTATGTCTAGCCAATTTTATTTACTGATCGACTACATTCTTCCCAATACATCATTTCCTAATTATATATTTAGATAAAATAATCAATACCACACAGTTTTGATTCAGTTTCTACAAATTTACCATTTGTCTTTCTGCTGTAAAATTTTATCGATCTGTGGAAAAATCTGTTCGTTCCTTACATACAATTTCTGAAATAAAAAAAATTAGATTATTTCTATCAATCAGATAGTTTTTTTATTTTCAAACACTTCAATGCTTTTAAATAAAGTTGAATATTTGTAGATTACATCACTCATTCACTTTGTGTTTGACTAGATAGTTGGATAGTAAACAGATTAAACCTATGGTATTTGTTGGCGACTCGGGAGCACTAAGTAGACAAAACCGTCATCAAAGATTGAATGTAGAGCTTTGGAAAATTACCACTTGCTCATGTTCTTTGTAGACGACTGAGTTGTAATCCTTCAGTTGGAATCTTCAGTTATTGATTACGATAATTAGTCTAATTTTAATCAGTTAGCCTATCTACATGGTTCCGTTTAGCAGTCAGTGTTTTCATAGTCTGCTGTTGCATCTTGGTTTGGTCTACCCTAACATTCTTTCACCCTACTCTAGCAGCAGTCATTATCACTCATAGATGTAATCATTGTTTGCGCATACGTAACACATATCTTAACTATTTTAATCAATAGAGATTAGCTACCTCGTCAGTTGATTTGCTATTCTAAAATGGAAATCGGTAGTTTATCTTTTCAGGCAGAGTTTCGGAGGTTTGTGTTTTTACACATTTGAAATCATCAATCAATCATTGTTAGACCACCATTAGAAATCTGGAAGCACTGAAAGACGGCCGTTTCGTCCTGGTATGGGACTTATCAATGGCAGTGCGCATCCACGACTCCTGCTCCTCGCAGGATTCGAACCTAGGACCTTCGGTATGCGTGTGAGAGCCTAAATTCTGACACTCCAGTGCTTACAGGTTTCTAATGGTAGTCTAACATTGATTTATGCATGACTTCAATACATCTATATATTTCTTCTGTTGTCGTCAATTTAGGTTAATCTCCATAGGCTGCTGTACATCAGAAAACCATGGCTTAATAGTTTAAAAAATTTCTCAAAGAAATCTGTGACCAGTGTAGTTCGGACATGCTAGAAGTAGGATAGTTTTTACTGATGATACTGGATGAGAGTTGCAATATACTGTCAACTGATCGGTACTAAGCTTGCAATAATCCTAATGAGACAGGTTCCTTGTGAAATGTTAATACTACGTATTTGATCATGACAAGGGTTTGAATAAGGTCATTACTATTGTTATTATTCGTAGTAGTAGTAGTAGTACTAACACCTAGTCATAAACAGTGTAAAACGTCGTACGTCGGTACATCACTTCAGGTTGCCATACCACATTAGCACATAGACATCGAGTTGTCGATTCAAATCCCATAGTAGTAGTAGAGAAAGCAGAAGTGTTAGAGATAATGCAGAAGATTAGGGTTCGAAGATATTATTCAAGTATAGTGCAGTGAAATAATTTAAAAGGAGATAAGAAAACGTCCTGAGGTCATGGGAGAAGAAAAGAATGGATGTATCTGCGAAGTTGCTAACGATCCTGAGCCTTATCATTCAAGTCCCTAACTATCATTTACTCTTATCTCGCGGACCGCTACCCGGTAGTCTACACCTACCAACATATCAGTCGGTGGTCAGATAGTCATAATAGATGTCCCAACTTCTTCAACTGATGAAGATTCACTGCTTTACCAACCTGTCTGCCATTCTTACTCTTTTCGCAACACCAGTATAGCTTACTTGGTGGTCAGACGACATATGAGCAGTGCTTCGAAAACACCTATGATCGTATACTAGTAGCTTTTGAATAACCAGTAATCTCACTACCCATGTTTTTCAACCGTACAGTAAGACGGATGTACTGCACAGCAGTAGAGGGATTTCTCGCCTACACCGTAAATTGATGCAAGTCGGCAAAAGCCAATCGAGTCTTTTGTATTCGTTTTGAGATTTCGTCACACACCTGGTCATCAGCACTGATGAGACTCCCAAGACAAATGAAGCATTGACTTTTTTGACATAAGCCATCAGTGATACATTTTCAATTGTAATCAAGTACCGATCCTTTCAACATCATATCTACACCTTCACGATAAATGTCAGCCAACACAAGCCACAAATTCTCATGTCCGTTCAATTAGTCGCTCGTTATTGATCCTCAATATATAATTGAGGAAAAATTGCCTCAAAATCCTCTAGCCTACTTAAATAGTATATAATACGTCAACTCATATTAGTAGTAATAAATCTGTTT